GTGCAGGATGAATTGGAAATAATCAACAGAAGGAAGGCACCAGAATGAAGGACAATTTAGGAAAGGCTTCCTATATCAGGTGTAATATTAGCTGGGACTTGAAGGCAGTCAGGTAAGTCAAGAATCAGAGATGAGGAGGGAGAGCATTCTAGGCATGGGCGATAGCCAGAGAAAATGGCTGGAATCAAGGAGTAGAGTGGTTTATTTAAGGAAGAGTAAGAAGAGTAGAGTTACTGGATTGCAGAGCATGTTGGGATCTGAGGAGGTGTAAGGTACAAGAATAATGTATAGGGGTGTGTGTGTGTGTGTGTGTGTGTGTGTGTGGTTATGAAGGGCTTTGAATGTCAGATAAAGGCCTTTATATTTGATCTTGGAGGTGATGGGGAGCCATTGGAATTTATTGAATGTGGGGAGGAGCACCATAGTCAGATCTGTATTTTAGGAAAATTGCTGTGACAGATGAATGCAAAATTGACTGGAACAGGGAGAGAGACAAACGGGCAGGTTATTGTAATATTCCAGGTGTGAGGTGAAAAGTTGCTCCACCAGGGTGGTGATAGTGTCAAAGGAGAAAAGGGAGCATAGACAAGAGATGTCATGAAGATAAAATTGACAGTTGTTGGTAATGATTAGATATGAAAGAGATAGTAAGGGATCGAGAATGACACATAGGTTGTGGTTCTGGGTGACTGGGACAATAGTAGTGTCCTTGACAATAATAGGAAAGTTTGGAAGTGGGGAGGGTTCTATGGAAAAGGTAGTTCAGTTTTGGATATGTTGAGTTTAAGGTGTATATAAGATATCCAATTCAAGATGTCCAGTGAGGTCTTAGAGAGGTTAGGGCTGAATAAATAGATTTAAGAATCATAAACATAGAGATAATAATTGAATCTATGGTAGCTGATGAGATCACCAAGTGAAATAGTATATATAGAGAGAAGAACAAGGCCCAGGGCAGAACTCAGAACACCCATGGTTAGTGGGTGTGACCTAGATGAAGATTTAGCAAACAAGTGGTCAAATAGGAGAGAGCAGCATCATAAAAACCTAGAGAGAAAAAAGTATCAAAGAGAAGTTCTCACATCATTTTCAAAAAATAGCCAAGTAACCTGCAAAATTTGGATGTTTCTGGTGGTGGGGAATAGGACAGTAGAGAGAAGGCAGGAATAGGTTGCAGTCTTCATTATTGTCAGGAATATCAGCAATTTTAGGAATTACAGATTTTTTTTAAAGCACTTATGTTGAACTCAAATAGAAATGGATCTCTTCCAGTGGCCACATATTGACTTAGAAAACTACAAATTAACATTATCTGTTGTATCGTATTTTTATTTGTTTCGTTAAACATTCCCCAAGTACATTTTAATCTAGTTCTAGTCTCAATAGTTCTTGGCTGAAAATTTGACACCTCTTCTTTAAAGTCTGAAAGTAGAAATATAAATTCAATTTCTTCTACACTTTTGGGTTTTAACTTTAGTGGAGATTTCATTGGTATATGGAACTCTCAGTAAGAAAATTTCCTCTGCTATTACATAGTCACTTGCTCTGGAACAGTTGCCTAGCTAGCAGTGTCAGAGATGGGACTTAAGCTTAAATTTCCTTGATTCTGAGTTCAATTCTCTCTAGCTACTGTTTCTTTTTGTCTCTCACCTTCCAAACTTAAAACTTAGAGCTGTCATTTTCCCTTTCTGTTTTCCTTGTCCTGTATTCCCCTGACTAATTGTGCTTCTCAGGATACTGTATACAATATATTTGATTATATTTATGTGTGTATGCATATATATACATACATATACACACATATGAAAGTGTCCTCCTTAATTTCTCAACCTCCATAATGCATTCATGTGAGCCATGAAATTTAATTTATAGCTATATTGGGATATACATCCTTCTACTTACAAAAATTATTCATTATGGAGGTGGAGGAGAATTCTTTTGAGCTTCATTGTAGATGATGAAATTACTGACAAACAAACAAACTCAACCACCACTTTTTTCCTGTCAAGTTTGATCAAACAAAATCAATTTGGTTACTACTATATTCTGAATTTTAAACAACTAGAACTTTCTAAAGCCGAATGTGGAAGGAGGCCAGAGGAGCAAGGGCTCTTAAGGAGGGATATTTTTGTGCAGTCTCCTCACACTTACACATAAATGGTTTGGAGACAAGGAGAGTACAGAGAAATCTTCACATATCCCATTTCCTAAAGAGAGTGTGATTTTTCAGGGCATGATGGCTCAGAGAAAGTGATTCTCGGCTCCTTAAACGTAATTTTTGATTGATTCCTTCATGCTCAAAAATCATTTTGTAAGCATCTGTGCAAGGCTTTATGCAGAAAGTCAGTGGAATCAGCACCTGCTTTCTTGGAGACTGCCATTGGAGATGAGATAGCACTGATCTAGATAAAGTGATGTTGACTTATTCAGCCATAGTGTGTAGACATGTCCTTGCCTTTTCATGATACACTTTTGCTTGCTTTAAGGCAGACAGTAAAACCCTGAACCTATCATGCCACTTGAAGAGTTTTTCAATGGAATACATTTTACCCTCAGGGGTATATGAGTTATCTTTGTCACTGAAATGCTGCCTTTAACGTGGGTATCTCTTTTGTGCCCTGATATCAGCATTACAATGAAGCTTTCCATACTTACTGCCAAGGCACTTGGCAATGTAGCAAAAAAGAAGAAACAAGAGCACACTAAAGAAACATCAATCATTAGGGTTGGAAGGTACCCAAAAAATCATCTAATTCAGTCCTCTTATCCCTCATTGTACAAATTAAAACTCTGAGGTCCAGAGAGGAAAATTCCCTATCAAAGATCAGAAAACTTATAAAAATGCCTTTTGGTTGAACAATTGTATTTATTTATATTGTTTTAAAATAAGTGTTGTGTCAATACCTTATTTTTGCTTTGTGATTAATTCCCAATAATTCACTCTCCACTCCTATCCCACTAGAATCATTCCTTACAAAAAAGGAAAACACATCAACATGTTAGCAGTGTCTGAAAGTGTATTCCTTATTTTGCACCTTAAGTCTACTACCTTTCTCCTGAGAGGAATCATTCCTTGGGAATCATGATTGGATATTGCATTGATCAGTGTTCTGAATTTTTTCAATGAGATACTTTTATTCATGATCTAGAAAATGGAATCATTTACACAAGAAGCAATCTGTTCTAATTTTACCAAAACTATTTTGCTAAAAGTCTATTTAGGGGCTTAGATGAACTCAACAAGGATCTAATAAAGTTGGGTAATTGAGCTACATAAAGGCAAATAAAATTCAAAGGAGACAGTGTCATAGATAAACTGTTGTGTAAGGCGGTAGAGATGATAATTTGAACTAATTGTGCACAATGATGCAAATTAACTTCTCTGTAAGAGAGATTGAAGCATCGTTTTTGGATAGCTCACTGAAGATGTCTACTGTGTACAGAGCAGCTGTCAAAAAATATTTTTAAAAGGCCCTTATGAATAGCAGGTTGGGCATGCTTAAGAGGAGAAATGACAAATATGCCAAAGATAGAATAGATAGGATATACATCCATGATGCATCTTCACCTGGAAAACTTCATTCACTCTTGCTCACTTACTTCAAAAGGAGGTGTAGTCAAAGAGGGAATTATAGGGAATGGACACAGAAAAATGAAAGTTAGGGGGGCAAGAATAGCCAGAAATACACACAGAGATTCAAAACAGTGGGATCATATGGTAGAGAGACAATATTGTTTGGAAGAAGTGGACTAAGAGTCTTATATCCAGTGGTGTGCTAGTAAATATTCAACAGCCAGGTCAGGGAGATGGAGAGAAGGTGAAGTGAAGATGCATGATACACTTAAATTTGATCTAAATTATTAATATTTTGCCCCACCAGTTTCTTAAGTCTAGACAATCAATAACAAAAAATCAAGTCATGATTCATAGCATTTACTAATTTCCTAGGTGTAAATGCTCAAACTGGAAATTTAACAATTGGCTTTTGTGAACCTGTATGAACAGATCCAGAGCACCTCTACCTGTGTCTATAAAGTAATGAATTCCTTTGTTGTTTGTATTCAGTTGCTTTAGACTCTTTGTAGCCCCATTTAAGGTTTTCTTGGCAAAGATACAGGAGTAGTTTGCAATTTCCTTCTCTAGCTTTTTTATATGTCAACTCTAGGTAACCAGAGTAGGTGTGTGTGGAATTAAATGCCCCAACATTAAAAAAAAAAGTTTATAGTTAAATTACCAAGGGCTTATCATGAAATAGAGTAGTGATTCATTACTTAATCTATCACTTATTCATTTATGGCAAATATTTTTTCTTCTTCCATTTAAGTCCTTCTTGGACACCTTTTAGTGGCACAGAGTTAAATATAGGTTTTCAGAGGTTATTCCAGTGCAGTGCAGGCTTTGGTGGGTTTGTGTGTGATGGATTCACGTGTTTGGGATTTGAGGATCAGATGTCAAGTATGTAGTAGTTTTCAAGTTTCAAATAGATTTCAAGAGGCTCATCAAAGAAGGATTAGCCATTAATTAATTGGTTTGTTTGTTTATTTGTTCATCCATCCATCCATCCATCCATCCATCCATCCATCCATCCATCCATCCATCCATCCATTAATGCATTTAGCTATTTTGCCACAGCAATTCATGAAACAGTCTTCCAAAAAATGTCGGAGAGTGTCAATTTGGGTGGATGGAGGGATGAACTATAGATCTGTGAAGTATATCCTTCTCACTGATAAGTTGGTTTGCATCTCTGTCCTTAGTATCTTCATGTTAGTTGAACTAATTTGAGCTAAATTTTTCATTTTTTAAAAGTTTGGAAAACAACTTTTGTAAAATAAATTAACTTTTTTTCAATGTGCCAAAACCCATTTTGAAGTTGGATGTTTAAACTTACTGATTTCATATTTATTTGGGAGATGTGGGGAGAAATTATGCTTTTAGGCAATTATATTGGAAGCCTTTTTAAATCTTGTCTTTGCTTTCTATTTTTTTTCCTTTGTAGGATGATTATTTCAGAAACTGGAATCCAAACAAACCCTTTGACCAAGGTAAGGGTGCCAATATCACACACTGGATGTTAAAATGTTATTACTTATACCCTTTAGTTTCTGTGTAGGTGATGACTATGTAATTTTAGTTTGGCTCTACAAATACCTCTTATTTTCATCCCTTAAAGTAGGTGACCAGTGTGACTGAAAGCTTTTTACTAATTGATTCATGTTTTCTCTGAGGTTATTCAACACTATTCATTTAATTGACCAATCTAGTTAAAATAGTTAAAATATTTTCCCAAATTAGTCAATTCTTAGATTATTTGTAGTTTGTATGGGATTTGATTTTCAGCTCTTTTAGATACAAAATTCTCAGCTTTTTCAGGTACAACTTTTCTTCCTCAAAAAGACTATGATCTTCTTGATGACTGAGACTATATTATTTTACATCTATATATCCTCAGTATTCTGTACCTTCATATTGTGGGGAATTAATAAATATTTATTGAATTGAATTGGTTTGAGAAATGGGGCAAATAGACATACTCATTTCACTTCAACCTTCTTGCTTCCCTAGTGAGCTTGGGAGATTGAAGCACCCATCCTCTCAGAGAAAAGGATCAGTTGGGATAGCCACTATTCCTAGTCATAGCTATTATAGATAATAGATCAAATATGTTTCTGTAGATGTTAATACAAACAATATATTGCATCTTTTGAAGAAGTTAAAATACATATCAGTACAACAAAAGTCCATGGCTTCTGGGTAGCAGCTTTATTTTGTAGTATCATATCTAGCTACTTCTGTATTTATTTATATTTATTCTCTTAATATTTGTTTATTCTGTATATACACTAATAAATATAGTTGCTGCCTACATTACGTTTCAACGTAAGCTCTTCGAGGGGAAGGATTGCTTCAATCTTTGTATTTGTATCCCCAGTACCTAGCACAGTGACTGACACATAATGGACACTTAAGAAAGCCTTTTTGATTGGTTGATTAATCACAAAATGATTACTAGTTGGTTATCAAGAACAACCATTTTACAGATGAGGAAATTGAGGCACAGGAAGTGCCTTAAGTTACTTGATCAGTGCCACATAGTTCTGTAATTGGAGCATTTCATGCAAACATGGTTTTCATGTAGATATATAAAGCCTAAAGAAAATGTTTGACATGTAAAAAAGTGAATAATGCAGGGCTCTTTTCCTAATCTCTGCTCTTTTTGTCTGATCATTACAAACTGTTGTCCCTGGCCCTTGTTTTCCCTATAAACAAAATTGGTGTTCTAGATTCAGTGTATCCATTAAGCAATACAATAGTGTTTATTTGTTTAAATACATTTAATTTATTAAATTATTTAATTTATTATGTATTCATTATTTAATTTATTAAATTCTACTACATACTGAACTAAAAAGAAAAGAAAAAATGGAAAAAAAATTAAATAGTGTAGATGATTCTACCTGCCATTTTCTCAATGAATGTGAGATAAGGAATCTGAATCTGCTTCAGTTAGTCTTGGTGTCAATGTGCCTTTCACAGTAGACTATCTTAGCATGCTGTGTGTGATTCTAGAATCTCTTCTTCATCATATCTATAGTTAGTCTGTTGATTTTGTTTAAGTTGGTAGAGTTAATGAGACATAGCTTTAGTTAGATTTTTTAAAAAATCATTCATCATCATCTAGAGGGCCCTGTTGTGTTACCTTTGACTTCCTTGGGTTCTCTCTTGGTTCATGGTGGAACAAGAAGAGAAAACAGTTGTGTAGCAGTGTTGATACTCACTAATATAGGAATGCTTAAATGTGAATATTTTCTTTTAATCATTAATTTTCCTTCCAGCTAAGTATTTATATGTTTATGTTTTCTTCTATTTTAATGGAAGTCTAGGTTCCAGCCTTTAAATGTATATGCATGTATGTAGGTATGTATACACATATATATATACATGTAATTTCCCCCCAATTACATGTAAAAACATTTTTTAAACATTTCTTGTTTTTTTTAAGTTTTGAGTTCCAAATTCCATTCCTCCTTCCTGCCCCCCTTAGATAATAAGTGATCTGATGTAGGTTATATGTGTGCAATCATATTTTGTGCAAGAAGACTCGAAAAAGAAAGGAAGGAAAGAGGGAAGAAAAGAAGGAAGAAAGAAAGAAAGGAAGGAAGAAAGAAAGAAAAAGAAACAAAGAGAAAATAGTATGCTTCAGTCTGTATTCAGACAATATCAGTTCTTTTTCTGGAGGCAGACGGCATTTTTCATCATGAGTCCTTTGGGATTGTTTTGGATCATTGTATTACTGAGAATAGTAAGTCATTCACAGTTCTTCATTGTATAATATTGCTGTGATTGTGTATAGTGCTCTCCTGGTTCTGCCCATTTCACTTTCTATCAGTTCATGTAGGTCTTTCCAAAGTTTTATGAAATCGTCCTGCTTGTCATTTCTTATAGCACAATAATATTCCATTACAATCATATACCACAACTTGTACAGCTATTCCCTAATTGATGGGCGTTCCACTGATTTCCAATTCTTAGCCACCACAAAAAGAGCTGCTATAACTATTTTTGCACAAATAAGTCTCCGTCCTCCACTTTTTTTAATCTCTTTGGGATACAGATGGAGCAGTGGTATTGCTGGATCAAAGGGTATGCACAATTTTAATGCCCTTTGGGCATAGTTCCAAATTGTTCTCTAGAGTGGTAGATTCCAGTCTTATAAAACTTGCCTTTTATTGTTCCATATCAACTATTTGTTCTCTGACACAAACTGATTTCTTTTAAAATAACATGATTTATTAACTCAATTCATAAAGAAAAAGTTAATTGAATAAAAAAAGAAAAAAATGATTGTAGCATAATAGTAGGAGTTAATGTTTCTCTTTCAGAGATGGGCTAGTCTAACAGAAAGACAAAGAAGAAGGAAAATATAGAACTAAATAAACTGTTCAAAAATTTGGAGCTAAAAGATTCATGGTATCTTCTGAATAGGATTATAAGAGAATATATAAATTTCTGTGAGATACATATTAACTTTACCAAAATAGATCATGTAGCAAAAACTATATATTATGTTATTTCTTGCTATTAGAATTTGGGATCCTTGTAAACCAGGATTGTCTTACTTTTCGGTTTGTGTCATCTTTTAACACAGCGCTTTGCTAAAGTACAAGCTTAATAAATGTTTTTTCATTCATTCACATACTAGGGTGCAGAGATATTATGAATAAACATAAAAATATAAATAGTAAACACATGCTTTTCAGACAATAATGCAGTGAAAATGTAATCAACACAGGGAATGCAAGCAAAAGACACAGTCCTGAAAGGAGATTTAATGACAAAATCCTGAACAATGAACAGTGAAAATAAAGAACAAATCATAGAAACAATTAATAACTATGTAAAAGACAATGATAATGCTTAGACAAAATACCTTGAGTGATGCATTGCAGAAAGCAATCCTCAGAAGAAAAATTATATACCTAAAACTACATGTTAACAAAATAGAAGAGAAAGGCTCAATAAACAGAATAAGGATTTAAAAAAAAAACAAGAAATAAATCAAAACCCAAATAAACAAAAAAAAAAAGAAAATGGAGAAAATGGAGAATTCCATTAAGTGAAAACCAAAAAGATTATAGAACTGATAAATAGGACTAAAAGTTAGTATTTTGGAATGACTAACAAAATTGATAAAACTTTAAACAATCTAATTAAAAAGGCAGGTAGGTGGCACAGTGAATAGAGTGCCAGGGCTGAAGTTAGGTAGACTAATCCTCCTGAGTTCAAATTTGGCCTCAAACACTTAGTAGCTGTGTAACTCTGGGCAAGTCACAACCCTGTTTACCTCAGGTCCTCATCTGTAAAATGTTCTGGAGAGGGAAATGGCAAAAGACTCCAGCATCTGTCAGGAAAACTCCAAATGGGGTCACAGAGTTGCACATGGCTGAAATGACTGAATAACAACAAATGAGCAAGAGGAAATAAAAAAAAAGAAAATTTAAAAATCATAGTTTGCTATACACTATATGCTATATGCAAAACATATAAATGTTACATGTGTTTATATATTATTATACATATTATATGCCAACCAGACTTCCAAAAAAGTATTATCTACTTATTATAATATATAATATAATAAAAATAATATATAATACTACTAATTATAAAGTACTCAAACTAACACAATACTGAAATAGTGTGATTTCAGTAAAGGAAAATGAACTAGCTGTAAAGAAAATATCAAAGTAGAGAGAAAACTAAAACCAAACTAACACTGCTCCAAGTAGAATTACAGAAAAAATTATATCAAACTATTAAATGACAATATTTATACTATGTAAATTATTCTCAAAAATCAAGCAGGAAAACACTTCCATGCTTCTTTCAGTGATACAAAAGCTGTTGTAATACTTAAACCAAGAAAGGATAAAGAAAAAGAACTATAGAACAATATCAATAATAAAAATAAATTCAAAAATTTTAAACAAAATTATGGAGGAAAGAATAAAGCAATTTATTTATGGGGAGAAAAACTTTCACTAGGGTCAAATTTGATTCACACCAGGAATGTAAGGATAGTTTAGTATTAAAAAACAATTAACATAATTAATTATATTAAAAACAAAAGCATCCAAAACCATACAATCATGTCAGTAGATATAAAAATGCCTTTGACAAATTAAAACACTCATTTATGCTAAAAAAAACCCCACAAGGCATATGCATAAAAAGATATTTTTAATTTGACTTAAATATATATAGAACCAAAACCTAGCATTAAAAGCAATGGGAAAACACTAGAAGATTTCCCAGTAAATTCAAGATTAATATGAAGATGCTTCCTTTCATTAACATTACTTGACACACCTCTAAAAATGCTAGCAGAAGCAACATGACAAAAGAAAGAAATTAAAGGCATAAAGATAAGCATTGAGCAAACAAAAGTATCCCTATTGTTGGCAAAATGTTGATTTACTTAGAAAATCTTAGAGAATTGGCAGAGAAACTAATTGAGAGAAAAGCTTCAGTAAAATGGTATGCT